ATGAAATCTCATGGAATTGCTTTAAAATAAAGTACGAGTTTTGCTTGATTTTTGTATAAGCTCACACACTTCCTTTGTACAAATGAGCTCATGGAATTCAACGTTTAGGTTCTGTAGATCAACCATTTAATTGTTCACAAGGGGACTTGTAAAAGGAGAAAAGTACCGTCGCACAAATGCATGCAGCATGGTTTGTGTGGTCACATCAGGAGTTTTTGTCTCATGAGCGAGATGAAATTTATTTGCCTCCCAAGGAGGAAAGGCCAAACAGCTTCCAACCCTGACAGTAAATACAGGAAATTTAGGTAGTTTCAGATCACTGAAGCCATTCAATGAATATTAAATGGAATTGGTTATTATAACAATAATTGATGATACTATTTATGGTTTTGTAATTTTACAAATCATACATGTGACTTCAGAGCCAAATTTGGAAGAAATCATCATCATCTAAACACTGAATCAGTAAGGCTCCTAGTTAGGAAACCAGACCTTCAGAGAGGCCTCTGACCTTCTAGATGCTGTTAAAAATTTTTAATAGAGTGGCTGAGCCAAACAGAACAATCGAGGCGGTTTTGGTTTCTGGGAGGAAGTCTAATTCCCAACTCAATGAACATTCCAGTGGAGCTGCAACATATTTCTTTCTGCAAAGCATAGAAATACTGTTATGTTTTGCACCCTGCATAGGAGGGGGAAGGAATATATAAACCAGTGCAACATTTTTCAAATGGAGCTTTTGGTAGCTGATTCAGCTGGAATGTAATTTATGCTAATAAGTTCCTGGATTTCAAAGTGACTTTTTCTTATCACACTAAAACCTTTTAATTTGGATATATATTCCTAAGTCCAGAATGGGTAGGAAAATTCTCTGTCAAAAGCCAGGGGTACAACTGGCCCTGTCTAAAAGGGAAGGGGGAAAGAAAAAGGAAATTATATTCCAGAGGTCTGGAGGAGGGCAAGAAAGAAGTTCAGCGTATGGCTTTTAAACAATTTCCTCTGACATAGTTCTTGATTTCACACACCATTTACTTCTAGAAAAGTTTTTTCATAATTTTAAAATGGCTGCATAATTTGGGGACTTCAACGTGACATGGAATTGACAGTGGAATGTAGCTGGTTTCATTTAACTGTGATGGAAGAGGGGGAAGTGTACCCGATTGAGCCAAGAAGCTTGTGTTCTGGCCCCAGCTCTGCCACGACCTAGCTGTGTGACATGAATCACTCACTTAGTGTAGGCCTCGTCTCTTCATTCATAAACTAGATGAGTTGTGCTAGTTACACTAGATGATCCTTTAACTGACCATTTTGGCATTCAATACATTTAGGTAAATTCTCCCAGGCCAGTGGCTTTCAAATGTGTTCTTTACTGTGATCCACAATAAGAAGTACATCTTATATTATGACCTAGTTCATATGCAGTTGCAGATTTCTATGTAAATGTTTTGTCTGTATCCATATAGATCACACTTACCATGATATACATGCTATACATACAACCACACACACATATATGAAATGAAACAAAGTTTCATGAAACCCTTGTTACCCTTGTTTCCTCTGAGGCATTATGATATTTTAAAAATTCTATTTCATTAAGAAGCAACTGGTAAATTTCCACTAACTTGACTTTATAACCCAGTTTGACGATCACTATAGCTAGGCACAGTCCTGCACTTTGAGAAATTGCCTCCAGGTGAATGCAGATGACTGCATAAATTAGCGGTTAAAACAAAGAAAAATAGAAAAGCTGTGCAGATACCAGCCCACATATTGAAGGAATATGTTCTGGTTTTAGTGAAAAGTTATGACACGCTAAATAAAAACAGCCATTAAGTACAAGTACTCCCCATCTGTGAATTTACGCATTTTAATCTCTGCATAACTGAAATTTGGTTTTTTATTCTTCTAGAAGCAAAACTATTTTTGAAACTTCCTCTCATCTGTTAGATTGGCTTTTAACTCTTCCATCAAAGGAATCTATGTTTTGAAAAATGAACCATCTTTTGTTTATAAACAACCCCTTTTAAAGTTTCTGTACCTTTTGTTTTAAAAGAGGCCTTGATTTTTTAAATATTAACTTTTAAAAGCACTGTTAATTACAAAGCAATTATATAATGTTTTCCTCCCACTTTCATTTTGAAAACCTATTTGGGGGGAAGATACTACAGTATCTACAAGATTCTCATCTTTACATCTTTTACCCTGTCCTCAAATCCTCTGTTGCAGTTTTTGAGTTCTAGTCTTGGCATGCAAGGGTATTATGGGGATTTCTTGCATCTCAGATGATACTCAGGGATGCATGGTAATAAGTGATTCACGTAGGTTCCATCACACCAAAATCCAAGGATGAGAAAATTGGCTCTGACGTCCTGAGCAGTGTTGTCTTTGTGGCTTTAATAACACATACTTTTGCATATACGCGACAACCATAGGTATTAAGGGTATTTCCAAAGGTTTGACCATTAGGGAATATTTAGATGAGAGAAATCTCAAAATATCTTCTTTAAAATGTTACATTACATTCCAGATAACACTTCTAAAATAGAAGATGGTTACGGTTTATTTGCATATTTTTTAAAAAGGACATAACCTCCATTTATTAGCTTATAATATATAATATACAATGAACTTACCAATGTAAAGATCATACTCCATCTACTGTACCCCCTCCATGCTGCTTATACAGATTTATAACAAATTCTAAACCATTAACATTATGACAGGGTCAAAGCTTAGATTTGGCTTATTTCTATTTATCATTTATTAGACATTAATTTAACACTATCCTCAGGTAATGGCCACTATGACTTGAGGCTGCTTGGGTGCTCTGTGAGGTTGGATCACTTGGATAGGAATGTGGTCCAATTATTTGTCTCTGTTTTGATCTATGTCTTGAAACTTTCTCAACTTTATCAACTTTTCTAAAATCATCACAAAATCTGTGCTATTGAAAATTAACCCAACCAATAACACTTGGGATCTACGGGAAGGATCCAGATAACTCCATTTACAGGGCAGTAACTTTGGGCTTTGTGTTTATAGTTTTGGAACCTCTACCTGTCTTTCCCCCTATCTTTCTCTTTTTGCAATATGACATAAGCTAATCTTTCCAGTACAGACAAATATATGTTACATTGCTGAAGAGCAATCAGAATTTTTTTTGTTGGAAAAATCCCTTTCTCAAGATACATTCCTATTAGTTTACTTTCCGATATCCAGGTAAGCGCATTGTGCTATTCCTGAGGTGTTTTTTTTTTTTTTAATACTGTCCACACTGATCCAAGTCAAACAGACCTTTAGAGGGTACTGACAATGACGTCTTCATTCAATATGATCGCTGCTAAAGCCTTAGCTCCTTGTTTGCTCTATAGTGCTGTGCCAAGATCTTGGCCTTGAGATGTTCCCAGAATCCCTGGAAACATTACTTACTTGTTTGTGAGTATAAGCCTCAGAATGATTTTGCATCCACAACAAAATATGAGGATGAACAAAGCAGTGTGAATCTCTTACTGGGTTGGAATTTTTTTCTTTACTGAAGCATAGGACTTGGAGCCAGTCAGATGAACAGAATGTTAAGTAAAACTCTACATTGGTGCTTTTACAAAATATACCAGAATTAAATGGAGTAGAAGGATTTGCTGTAACAGAATCCATTTTTTTCAATATTTGGTATTAATTTTTTCCTGAATATTAAACGTGTTAACGTTTCTAAATTCTGAGGGATATATTGGTGAGAACTATGAAAAAGAACTCACATTATTTAACTTTTAAAATAGAAATTAAAAAAAAATTACTCTTCACATCCTAGTCTGATGACTTAAAGAAATCAGCAGGGTATCATACAATAATCCTGGCACTCAAAAGGGGCTTTATTTAAGTATCAGAAAGGCTAAACATCATGGTTCTATCATTAGAAAGTACTAAGAATACAGTCAGAAATAACATTTCATAATTTCCATTAGAAGATTTCAAAATAGGGCACTAGTAATTGATTCCCTTCTATTTTGGCTGCATTTTGAGCAATAGAGCAAAAGTATTTTTAAAAAGGTGGAGGGGTCCTTTGAAAAAACAAAGAGGAGAGGAAAGTCAATACCTAGAGGCAAGCATCAGCGGGAACAGGGCTGGGGAGGCTGGTTAGGGAGCACGGAAGTCGCAATCCCTTCTCCACTCGCCCTCTGCTGTGTGCCAGCCTTGGTGCCGGGCAGGAGGGCACTGCAGCGTGTGGAGAGGCAGACAGTTTTGCTGGCTCCCACTTGCTCCTCAGGCCAAAGTCCAGGCAGAAGTTGGCCTTGTGGGGTTCCTGTCGTCCTGCCAATCCATGGCACTCCAGGGACACTGCTAGGAGAACGCGGGCCAAATCCTGCATGAGAAGGCACCTCCTTCACATTCTCTTCCACGTCGGGGGTCAGACTCAAGGAAACCCCTTCTGTCAGATTTTATGGTCTTTGTGCACTAGCCAAGGGACAAGTAAGAGAAAGAAAAAGAAAGCAACTTGTTTAACCTCACACAACAGAAAGGAAAGAATTCTTTAAAGTCGTTATCTGGGAATGAAGCCCAACATCCCAGAATCTCAGCTCAGTTTGCTCTTTTTTCATTTACTTCTGGTTTTTAGACATTTAAGTAATTATGACCCCATCTACTGTGGGCCATCGTAGCATTGTTTTCTCCAAGAGAGTGGTCCAAAGCCACTATTGCACAAATACACAGTAATGTGTGCACCATCTGACAACGGTCAATGTGCAAAGCATATGCAAGCATATATGTAGCATCACAGTGTAGACACACACTTAAAAAAGCAGATCCTTTCAAAAAGAGGCCCTCATTTGCCATTCTTAAGGCCATAAATAGGATGTATTACTTTTAATAAGAGTCCTCTAACACCAGATATGTATGTTGAAATGAATATTCAAATCCATTTACAGCATACAGACATTCAGAAGCCAACATGATCATCTCACACATGCATGCAGTCTCTTTTCTGAACCAACAAAGACAATGCATTTCCAGGGAACGTGTATTTGAATTTTATTGTACTTCTTAAAAAAGAAAAGTGGAAATCATAATCTTACATACTTCCTTCAACTAGATCAACTTAGACAATTTATCAATGCTTCCTTAAATTTTTACACCACACTGAACTCCAACAGGTTTTTGTTTTAAAGTAAACCAGGTTTTCAGTTCTTCCCTGTGGAGAAGTTACTTTCAAGTCAGTGAAAGTTCTTGGCCCATGATTAAAAGTCTTTGCCAATTAGTACTCAACAACTTCAATTCATTTTTTTCTGGTTCAAGATGAGTAGGAGCCTAATAAGGCTGTGATAAAAGGGCAAAAGGCACTGAGAGCCAAAAGCGGATTAATGAGCTCCTCCATTTATTTGTCTTCCTAACAGCTGAACTGTTACAACTATTGACACTCTTCAAAAGGTTCCGCTCTGAACCCTGTCCAGGCACTGCAGGCTCCAATGGACATCTTCAAATCCGGAGAATGGAGGGGCAAGAGCTTCCCCTGTGTGATGCCAAAACCAACAAAGCCCCATGGATCAGGTAATGAAACTTCAGCTTTTCCCCCTTTGAGATTTATTTACTGGCAGCTGACAAGGGGCAAATTCAGCTCGAATTGTGCAGTCAAGGCCCTGTCAAGCTTTTAGAGGCACCCTTGTCTTGAAGCACCTTCATGACTGGCATTTCACTCAAAAGCCCTCGGCACTGGTCCTTAACAGCTTATGACATCACAAAGGACACTCCAGACAGATGCCTACATGGCATCCTGCAGCATTTTAAAAGAGAATTAGTGGTTTTAATTATGGTCGTCGTATGAAAGGGAACCATGCAAGCTCCACAGGAGACCTTTGATCAGACCCTTTCGCTAGTACAATGCCACGGAACTGTGACTATTCCTGGTAAGGGGCCTTTTCTTGCTGAATGACTCACCAGTGATCTTTGAATGCAGACAAGCTTCTAGCCCTCCCTCTTCATTAGTGAGCATTTCTATACAGGGGCCTATATAGTGCTTGGAGTCTAGGAGCTATACAATTGGGGGGAAAAGAATCCCCACAGATTCGGGCCTCTACTTAGGAAGTGCTGAAGGACTCTGAGTGACTTTATTCATTAAAACAGGTTGCTATTAATTAACTGTCATAATAAAATAAAGAACTATTATTTGCATTTCTTACTATGTTCTCTTTAGTAATATGTATAAAAGATGCTTGTAACAGAAATGAATTTATTGTACTTCCCCACATCCCTCCCCAATCCCCGCCCCCCCCCCTTTTTTTGGCATTTTGGCAGCAGGAGCCTACTAATTATTGGGCCCAGATTTATGAGCCCAAACAGAAGTAAAACATGAATATAAAATTAATTAAGGAGAGAAAAAAATCTTGCCGATCAGTTTAAGGAACTGAAAAAAAAAAGCAAACAATTAGCTTAATTTTTTAGTGATTTCAGAGAATGATCTAAGACAATAAATCCCCAACTTTTTTCAAAATATCACCCAGTTGGTATTTAGTTTGAAGTCTGAGATTATGTAACAACCACATAAACTCAAAAAAAAAAAAAACTTGAAGTGTAACAAGATTCATTCTTAAGAAAAAAAAAAGATTTCACTTCTGGGAAACAGAGACTGTTTTTGGTCTTGTATTAATGTTTCAAGAATTCAATTTTAATCCCAGTCCCAAGAAGCAGGGCCCTTAAGATTCATGGTTGATATTTTAAGTATATGAAAATAGTTCATTCTCTTCTAGAATCTATCTAATCAAGCAAGTCATTTGACGAAATACTGTGGAAGTAGGAAGATTTTTCAAAATATTCTCGCTGAAATGCTAATTCAGTAACATGGGATAAACAGACTTTGCATAAATAGCACATCTCAGTCGCTAAAGCCCCATGAAACAGCACTGCGGCACCGTGTCACTTCTGTCTGGGAGGTGACTTAAGTCTTCCTTTTTTATGCTGTTTCTTTTCTTGGAGGAAAACTTTTGGACTTTGGAATTTTGGAAGCCGAATGCCGAGCAGGTTTTTCTCAGTTTGCTGTCTCAGACATTTCTCCTATTTCTCAGGCTTTGCAGTTCTTTTCTTAGGTGCTTTAGAGCAACTGAAATATCGGCTAGCTGTGGGTCATTCCGTGCCTTCTGAGTGTAGAGACGGAAATGTCTGATGGTTTCAGACAACAAGACCTCAGGGTCTGCACCTCCTTCCCGAAGGCGCAGCACACGCTCACAGGCGATGGCGTAGTTCTTGTGCCAGTTCGCTGGGTGTTCCTTTTGTAAATAGACAATCTCCTTATAAAGCTGGAAGACAGCACAAATGTTGGTATTCCATTGTTATCCCTTGACTTTTTTTCAAAAACCCAAGAAAACACAGAGGAATTAATAACACAAGGAAAAAAAAATCCAAGCAGCCTACAGTAAAAATCTAATCGTTGCCAGGCCATGCAGAAAATGCAGGGATGCTACTGTAATGATTACAGTAGCAGGAGGCAAATGCGCTTCATCTAAAACTGCTTCTGGGGTTTTTCGGATGTTGCAGAGGGAATCTAAGACACACTCTGTCAGGACAAAATGCTCTTCCTCCAGAAAGATGTTCTGGGAAAGGGATTTAGTTCTAATTCATGGAAAGCTATTTACTCAACAGGCAGAAAGGTTGAAACTCTAAATTTAGCTGTTGGAAGGAAAAAATAGCTTTCTTTAGAAAACTGCCTAGTAAAGAACTTGAAGAAATTTAAATTTTATTCCTCATTTTTACGTAAATTTCTTTCTGCATTAAAAACAATAGTAGTAACAATAGCAACAATAAAACTCAAACAAATCCAGCACTGAACAGGCTGAACGTAACAGATTTAAGAGACATCCTTAAAGTGAGATATTGAAAATCTTCAGTGTCCTAAAATTACAATTTCCATAGTTAAAACTTTGCCCACAGGAATTCGGAATTTAGCTTTTCAGTATCAGAAACAGTATGACTTGGATAGAGTTAGAATCTTTACTGTTGAGTTTTCCAGAGGAAAAACATCAAAATTTAACAAATAAACCAAAAAGTAGGTGCAAATCTATAAAATGGAGTATTATACTTGCTTATTTGGGAATTTCACAGCCTTCTTGGGGATTATCAAATTGGAGTCAGATCCGCAGGCACTTGAGTTAACCAGCCGTCTCCATGAGAGCACAGGACAAGCAGGGATGCTTTCTCCAGGGACAAGGGCTTTTTGTATTAGAACTGAACTCACGACATCGTTCAGTTGAAAGGGACCCAATTATACTCTCTATTTCCCCAACTCCTACTCTAGAGCTGACAAAGGCATATCTAACCTAGTTCAAAACAACATCTCCATGAAAAAATCCCCCAATCCATATTTGATATGTCACTTTGATATTTCATAACCCTCAGTCCTCAAGCTGCCTTTGAAAGCAATTTTCCCCTTAGTTCCCTTCACTCCCTAAGATAGGGGAGAGTCACCTTGCAGTTTCATAGACATCAAAGCTATGAAGTCAGCCTCCTACCCTTTTATTTTCTTGGTGAAATATTCAAAGCTTCTCTACCTTTCCTCACAGTCTTTTTTCTCCATCTGTTGCTTCTCTTCCTGAGACACCCTCTGACGAGGGACGTGTGTACAGTGCACGGCAGGCCACCTGGCACAGGACTGCTCTTTATCTTTACTTTCCCAAATTTTCGAAACCCTGCTAAGGTTCTGGAGTGCAAGATAGAGGCCAGCTCTTCAATGAGCATTTCCCCAACAGCTCAAGAGAGTAAGAGGCTTACTCGTGACCTCCCTGCTACAGTCTTCAGACATCAGAACAACCACATGACCTTTTCCTAGAACCCCCTGTTACTGACATATCATCAACTCATTCTGGATGGCCCATTAAGCCACATTTGCTGTATCGTAAGAAGCTAGTCATTTCTCATCATGTGGAATGACATTTCCTCCTCTATGTGTATCACTGTGACATCAGTCTTAGTGGAACATATTCTATTTACTGGGGACATCTTTAACATGTCAAATGTATCCCTAAATATATATCCCTATAGTTCCTACTCCCCTGCTACACCTGAACTTAATGTTCTATGTAAGCTATTGGGCAGGATAATGTAAATAATAACAAAAATATCTTTTATACCCAACAAGAATGTTCTTGGAGAAACTGCACTGGGGCTGATTTGTGTTGACTCGTCATTTGTATTTGGCCTCACGTGTCTTGCAAACACTGTCACGCATCTGGAGACGTGTGTGACGGAGATCCCTAGAGACCATGCTGTAGACTTGCGTTCGCTGGGAGAGTAAAGCCCAGGCCCAAAGGGACAATAAATCCATGAACTGGCTTTAGTGGTGGCCTAGCAACTGACCACAATCAGATCACTGACGAGAACATAAAATACTAGTAAGTCTCAGATTTCTCCCAGCTAAATACTACCCGTTTTCCACAGAATCGCAGGTATTAGAGATGAGCAGGATGTGACATGACCAGGATATGAGATAAACCTATAAAGTTTAAAGCCCATTTCTTTTTCTTTAAAGAAAAAAACGGAGGTCTAGAAAAGGTGAACTGGCTTGTAATTGACAATGAATGGTGAAGTGGGCCTTGACCGGGACACAACTCCAGCTTCCTGCCTTGCCTGGTCCCTGGCTGTCCTCGAGTGAGCACCTCGGAGGGCTCTGCCTTTGTCCCTGTGGGTCCCCCTCCTTATGGACTGTCCTCCCTCCCCCACCATCTGTCTGGCCAGCTCCTTCTGATCCTTCCAGATGACACCCCAGTGACGACATCTTCTCTGGAAGCCTTCCCTCCCTTCCTCACCGCCCTCTCATATGCCTCTCTCTGCTCCCGCTGCACCTCTGCAAACCTCTCAGCACACTCACAAGCTGAACTGACTGAGGACTCTACCTTCCCTCCACCTCTCTAGCCTGTACCTCTTGGACAGCAAGGGCAGTAATTGCTCGTCTCCGTCATAGTAGCTGGTACAGACTGAGTGCTGCATAAATGCTCTGTGAGTGAATGAATCAACAATGGACCAATGAATGAGCACACAACCGAGGAGTAAAATCTGTCATACTACGAATTGGACTCAGCATCAACCAAATGCCCTGGCTGAGGAGATCCACAGCAGCCCAGGGACAGCAGGAATACCTCCTCACCTACTCTGACATAAAGTCCCTGGGCTCTGCTCTCACTTGCCCTTGCCAGGATGTCTGTTTCCTACAGAGCACGCTCCAAGACTATCTCTGAAGGTGACTAAGGGCCCAGTGCACTATAAATCACAGAAATGCAGGGACTTGCTAACACAGTGCTGCAGTAAGCCTCCGCTCCATACTCCCATCCCTATCAGGACAGAGCAAGAGCCTCAGCGTGGCTGGATCTGAAGGCTGTTTGCCTTCCTGGGGGCCAGAGTGAGAAGACAGAGCCACTGTCCACAACCCTTTGCCTCTCTCATGAAATCTCAACCAGCCATGGCCCGATCGTTTCAAGTGTAGCCAGGGGCGTGACTTTTACACAGAAGGCAACCCATCAGCACTTAAAAAAAAATAAATAAAGCCATTATATTAGTTTCCTATTGCTGTTGTAACTAATCACCACAAACATAGTGGCTTAAAACAATATAAATGTCTTATCTTATTTTCCTGGAGGTCAGAAGTTGTAAAATCAAGGTTTCAGTAAAATCAGCAGGGCTGTGTTCCTTCTGGAGGCTCTGGAATCTGTTTTTTTGCTCTTTCCAGCTCCAGAGGCCGCCTGCACTCCCTAACTTGTGGCCCCTTCCTCTACCTTCCAGGCCAGCCCTGGAGCATCTTCAGATCTTTCTCTCTGATCTCTGCTTGCAATGTCACATCTCCTTCTCTGACTCTGACCCTCCTGCCTCCTTCTCAGGACTCTCATGATTACACTGGGCCCACCTAGATAATCCAGGCTAATCTCCCCACCTCAAGATCCTTAATCAAATCTGCAAAATGCCCTTTTCCATGTAAGGTCATGCATTCACAAGTTCTGGAGAGCAGGGACATGAACTTCTTGTGTGTGTGGGGTGCATTGTTTTTCCAACCACAGCCATTTACTTTAGATATTATTCATGACACATTTATACTGCTTTAAAATGCCAAATAAAGCTGGAAACAAGTAAAATCTCCACCCTTCTCTCCCTCTCAAACAATCACCACCACCTTCCCACCAAATATATTTATACATATAAAAGTACAACGTACACTGTACGCGTGAGTGTAGAGTTGGGCTTTGACACTGGAAGGCAAACTCGCAGTCTCCGCCAGGTTAAAGATGAAGAACGGCGTTTTCATCCTGGGAGTGGGAGGCGTGGGAACCTTCATTAAAATCATGTTGTCAGTTTCACAGTCAAAGCTAAATCTGCCTGACTTTTCCATTGATAAGGAACCATATAAAACCCTTCACTGTCTTATTTTCACTTCTCTCATATTCATAGACGTTTACTCAGAATGAACAGTAACCCTTTCCCCCTCCTCCCGCCTGCCCAGACACTGCATTTAGAATCCAGTGATTGCCGAATCTTTTAGAAAACAGCTTATGCTCATCATCACTACTGTGCATCGTTTCCCCTCCAGATGCACATTTTCCTTGTGCAGAAGCAGCTGGGAGGGGAGGCCTTGCTGAGTTTGTCAGCACGACCCTGAAGGTACCCATCGTGACAGCTCATGCCACGTGTGACCAGTTCTTCAAAGGTGGCTGGACTCTCTGACCACATGAACTCATCCAAATTGTATTCAGCACACCAATTAAATCAATACATGCCTGACTAATGACCTCCTTTCTTCTTTTATGTGATTTCTCCCCCAGCTTTCCCACATTCAATCACAGGGAAGAACTGTGCAAACATTCGGTATATCTTTGATTTGTTCTTCAAAGTATTTGTTCCTATAACTAGGCTGATAACTTGAAATATGCCATTTTCTGACATTCTCAAAAACACTATTGCAAAACTATCTTTTTTGTAATTGTTATTTTGTCAAGAACCGTATTTTTTGACAAAATTTTTTAAAAAACCTCTTTAAATGTATGTAAGCCTTTTACACTGGAACTCAATTCTTGGTGTAAAGCGCAGTCCCTGGCCTGGAGTGGCCATCAATATATTTTTATTGAAGGAAGTACTTCATATGTACTTGATACCCTTGTCTGCAACTCTTAGGACTTTTACATTAGTATTTAAGCCAAAGTCTGTTAGTGTCATCTGTTTTGAGTATTTTAAAATAATGACAGGAACCAAGAGAGTCAACAGCCTCACCATGAATGTTCCCTACAGGGCCAACAGGAAAGCACAGCATCTAGCACGCTGATTGTCAGATTCCTCTAGCATGTCTGTCCGTTCCATCAGCCTGAGCTCCTTGAGGGCAAGAACTGTGTCAGATTCATATGTGCAGCTTTCATGCCTACACAGTGCCTGGCCTCTAGGAAGTGTTCAGGAAGTGCTTAAATAATTAACGAGAACGTTACACATGGAGACAGGGCTACAATGACCAACTTCTCCTCAATCAATTTCACTCACTTTGTTTTAGTTGAGGCAGGAGAGCATCAGAGTTACGAATGCTGCCAAGCCAGAGAGTTGTGAGTTTTGGATTCAATCGCTACAGCTACCTGGCCTTAAACAAGTAACCTCTTTACCCCCAGTTTGTTCTTCTGTAAAATGGGGCTAATAATAACTTCTTCACAGGGCTTTGTGAGGAGGAAATGAGATTATGCATTGTAATGATGAGCACAATGCCTCAAACAAAGTAACTGCTCATAAGTGTTATTTTTATTATCACCACTCACCCCTACTTCCCAAACGAAAAGGGTCATGGGTTACTTCCCTGCCATATTAAAAACAGACTGCCAGCAAAAAGTGTAGGTTACCTTGCTTGCCACATCTCTTCATTGGCCACAGATTCCCAAGAAGATGGATCAAACCTGCAGTTACAAGAAAATGGTGACATTTTTCTGCCAACTCCATTTGTTGCTATGGACATGTAATTCTTGCTTTATAATCTTACAAGGCAAGGAAAATAGGCTGTGGCTTGAAGTACTGATGGGAACCAAAATAACAAACTTATTCTCCTAGAAAAGTTTGATTCTCAGGAATTTGAGGTTTTGGCAAATGTGTTCTTAATCTGCAGAATGAGCCCCAGTGCCTCAAGGGGAGCAAACAAAAGGTTAGTGGGAAGAGGCTGGCAGCATGTGGGGAGCCAGCTGTTCCTAAGATGTGTTAGGTGGGCAGTGGGACAGCGGTGAGGCCTGGGTCACTCTATGGACACAGCTAAGAGTCATCGAGCTGTGAAGAGAGGGGACTGCTGGCTTTGATAAATCATTGCTGGAGCTAAGGTGCTGCTCAAAGAACACTGGTTAAACCATTTGCTGATTTTTTCTCTTAATTAAAATTCCTCATAATGTATCTATTTGGACAGAACGGAGACTATGAGTGATGCTGTGTACCTGTACTGTCATCAGCTGTTTGTAGAACAGGTGATTTTCTAACTCTTCCTCGCGATGGTCACAGTGTGCTTTGATGTAGTACTACTTACCCAACTCTGGCTAGTGCACAGCAATGTGGTCTGTTTGCTCATATTGACCCAGAAAACTTTGGTAGCATGTGTCCATATAATCTTGACTATTGTTCCTGAATTATAAGCAATAATTATCTAATCTTTGAATAATTCATAATTTAAGAAATAGGCAACGGAGACACCTTTCTTTAGATGGGGACTCATTTTCCAAATGGGAGAGAGTCAACTCAAAGTAGAAATGCTTCCAGGAAGACGAATCATGTCCAAAACAGCATAACGAGGCTGATGACAAACTACTGGGAAGAAAATGTTACTCAAATCCCAGTCTTCCCTACAGAGTTGTCATGTGCCATTCTCTTTTTTTTTTTCCTGTCAGTCTAATTAGATTTTTGTTAGATTGGCAAAATTTTCCTTGTACCTGACAGATTGCTGTTGTGTCTTATTTTGTTCTTCAGTGAATCTTTTTTATTTCTTTTTTAAACACTTTTTACTGACATATAGTTGATTTACAATGTTAGTTTCAGGTGTATAACAAAGTGATTCAGTTATACATATACATACATATATATTTTTTCTTTTCAGATTCTTTTCTATTATATGTTATTATAAGAAACTGAATATAGTTCCCTGTCATCTGCCATTCTTGAAGAAAAAAAGTGACAAGTTCATGCATGTAGAAGTTATCATGGGCAACACAGTGAGTGCCTTTTAAACTTCTACTGCAGCCCATGAATGTCCTCCACTTTTAGGGTCTGAGATCTAGGATGGTGCAACATGTGGCATTATGAGAGCTGGAAGTGGAAGGTGGCATTCGACCAACTATTGTAGTGCCCGCTCAGCCAGAAAAGGTGTCCACCCTTTCCTTCATCTCCCCATTGTCCTTCAGACATAAGGACAAGAAATACATGTTCTCTTTCTCTATGATATTCTGTGGGCAGCAACTTACAGTATTAATAACTAATAAAAAACAAAACAAGAAACGTCAAAAAAGTTAAAAGGCATCTCAAAACTTTGTAAGTTTTTTAGGCACACAAAACGGCTCCACACTGATGCTCTTCATACCTTCCATATTCTTCAGTCCAGTTATACATATTCCTCGTGAGTTTAATCCATTCTTCAGGGTTGAATACAATCTCCGAAGAAACTAATTTGTCACAAGAACCCCATGGCCAAAGCGAATAGTTCTTTTTCCAGGTTGGGTCACCTTCATGAATTCCTATGCAAACAAATGTTTCTTTTCTATCAAAAATAGAAAAATACGTATTTTTAACTAAAGGTTCTAAATGTTAAATAAATATAACCCACGAAGGGCCATTTTTGACTCTTTAAACCTCGGTTACCAATAAACCATTTGTGAACACTTTGGTTTATTTAAATCTCTCCCAAGTAGATTGTTTTAAATTTCATGAGTGTAAAAAGGCTGTGTAAGGGGTTGAGGGGAAGCACACGGACATAAAAGATAAAACCTACCTGTCTGTAACATGATAAGAAATCATTTGGGGATAAGCACTGTCACAAGGAAGACTTCTGTGGTCCTGTCTCACGTGTAACATACATACCATCTGGCACCTTTCTGATTTTATAGGTGGAAGCCTAAGTCTTCATCTGTGCCCCTACTGAGCAGGAGTCCCTCCTTCCTCAAATTCCCGTTGCATTTTATTCTTAATCTCTTCTGATGTTATTTTACTGAACTTATTATTTTCATTTATAAGTCTTTCTGGGTAGTCCGGAAGCATCCTGAGGGTAGGCTGTCTATCTCTGAATTAACCCTGAACCCCACATAGCATGCTGCATAGCTAATGTAGGGTATTTGCTGAATAAAATTAATTAGATTTGAATATTAAGAGCTTCAAATGCTGTAAAAGTTAGTAATAGAAATGGTTTAAATAAGTTCGGCTCAAAAACATTCTAATTGAATAGTTTTATTCCAACTTGTGGTATACACTTTAATAGCTATTACCAACTAGGAAAAAAAAGGAGCACATTAGGAGAGATTACTCGAAACAACTTCATGAACTTTGAAACAAGATACTTCTGGCTGAGATTTTAGATTTTCCCCACCATCTATTGCCTCTATGATTTTGGGAGTATTACTTAACTACCTGTGTCTGGTCCCCTCACCAGTGAAATTGGCATTAAATATCTTTCAGAGCTGTTTAAGATTAGATATTTGATACAAAGTAAAACATAATAGAGTCTGGTTCCGGGGAAGGTGGAGTCAGCAGATTCCATTCTGTCTCTCTCACTGCACACAACCATAATTTCTGAACAGAAAACGTGAAGCGGCTATCTGAAGACTCTGAAAAGTAAATGGTAGAAAGACTGAGGGAAGAAACCAGAATTCTGAGTTCCACAAAATCCATAGTGAGTTTGCCAGTTTCCCCCTTCCAGTATCACCTGGCCTAGACTCAAAGGAAGCCTGAAACCCAGAAGTCTGTACCAGGGGAGGACAAAAAGGGCTCCAAGAAAGGCTTGCCCCACCCTACCTTTTCCTCCTAGTCCAAGGAGCAGGAAAAGGAACTCACAAGGTTGGAGAGGGCAGAGAAAAACCCCTGGGTTTTTTTCTCTTCTCTCCTTCCCTGGACACAGGCAATACTGTGCCAGCAGCAGCGGCAGCAGCTCAGTCATGGCAGGGGAGCAGGGCAGGTTCCTAGAACTCTGAGGAAGGGGAACACTTCTTGCTAATCAGAGGAGCTGTGGTTCCAAGAGTCAGGCACAAATCCCCCTTACTCCTTGCCTCTCTCTGTCCTCCTGCAGCTTGGCCGCAGATGTGGACTCAGTCACAGAAACTGAATGGCAGAAGAGGGAACTTAAAGGCCCAGCTTTCTGGCCAGAGAGCCAGAAAGGAAGGCTCTAGGGTGCCAGAAAGTACAGGGGTGAAGACAGAATGGAGGGAGATGAAGAGGGCAGTCCCATTAAGGTGTGTATGAATGCCTGGCTTATCTCTGAGCTCAGCATGAATGGATATGACCTTAAAGAGCATTTGAGAAATGAGCCACAGGACAGACCACCACCCAGGACCCAGACTGTGTATCGAGTAGCACACACAAAGGACTAATCCAGACAGCACTGCAAATTCTTTGAAAATAGGACTGACATTGGAACCACAGTTCACAGAAGGCAGGTCAGAACTTGCAGCCTGAGATTAAACTGGCTGATGGCCTACTAAATGAGCAAACAAATAAAAATCAACACTCTCCTTAGGATTTAATAAGACCCAAATATTAAAATTCAGGATACAAATCAAAGTTATTCAGCATATGAAGAACCAGAAAAATTTCAACTTCAATTGGATGTCAATTCCAAGATGACACAGATGCTAGAATTGTCAAAGACTTCGAAATAGCTGTTACAACCAGGCACCAAGAACAGCAAATACTCTTGATATGAATGGAAAGATACAAAAATCTCAACAAAGAAAAAAGAAGATATAAATAGGAACAAAATGGAAATCAGAGACCTGAAAAACATGACATTTGAAATAAAAAATTCACTGGGTGGGGCTTAATATAATTTTGGAAAGAGAGAGTTATATGTCAGTGAACTTAAAGATAGATCAAAGGAAATTATATAATTTAAACAAAATGAAAAAAATGTACAGAGTCTTAGGCACCTGTGGGACAGCAGCAAAAGGTTTACCACTGGTGTCGTCAGAATCCTAGAAGAAAAGAAAGAATGTCAAGCAGGAAAAGTATTTAAAGAAATAATGTTAGGAAGCTTCCAAATTTTGTAAAAGACATAATCTTACAGATCCAAGAAACTCTGTAACTCCCAAACAGGTTAAACTCAAAGAAATTCATGCCCAGATACATCATAATCAAACTGCTGAAAACTAAAGACAAATAAAAAAATCTTGAAAGCAGCAAGAGAAAAACAACAGATTTCACACAGGGAAACAATAATTTTGGATAACTGCAGTTTTTTCTTCAGAAACAGTTATACAGGTCAAAATGACATAAAATAACATTGTTGTAGTGGTGGGGAAAAATAAGTATCAGCCAGAATTCCATATCTAGAAATATCCTTCAAAAACGAAGTTGAAATAAAGGCATTTCAGATAAAGGAAAACTAAGAGAATCCACTGCTAACAGTCTTGCTTTAAAAGTAATGCTAAAGGAATATCTTCAGATGGAAGGAAAATAATACAAGGGGGAAACTTGGAATATCAGGATTGAAAGAAGAACAACAGATCTGGTAATATCTGTACAAATAGCTTAGCCTGTTTTTTCTCTTAAATTTTAAGATACATGTACGATGGTTGAAAACAAAAGTGATCACATGTCTGATATATGTGAATACACTGTTAAAAGTGCAGAGGTTAAAGGGACTTATATACGACTACATTTTCTACATTATACTTGGAGTAGATTGTGAAAAGTGAAGTATGTATACTGTAATTCCAAGAGCAAACACCAAAAAAATTTACCAAGAGACTTCGTAAAAATAAGTTAAAATGGAATACTAAAAAAATCAAAATATCCAAAAGGAAGCAGGAAAGGAGAAATAGTGAAATGAAAAACAAGAGGAACAAATAGAAAACAAATAATAAAAGGAATAGACATACACCTAAAACTTACCAATATTTACATTAAACACAAGTGGTCTAAATACACAATGAAAAAGATAGACATTGTCAGAATGATTATAAAACAAGACCCAAATATGAGCTGTGTACAAGAAACCCACTTTAAACATGATACCATAGTGGTTAAAAGCAAAAAGATAAAAAAAGATATACCATGAAAACACTAATCAGATTAAAACCAATCAAAAATCCCAGAAGGATTTTTTGTAAATATAGAAAAAGGTGCAAATGCAATTCAGGGGGGAAAGAATAATGTTTTCAATGAATTATATTAGGACAATATTACATTCATATGCAAAAAAGACTTGTTCTAAGCATCCCCCTTGTAAAAATTAACTCAAAATGGATCATAGATCTGAAATGTAAAACATTAAACTATAAAACTCCTGGAAGAAAACGTAAGAAAATCTCTGTGACCTGGCCTTAGCCAAAGAGTTCTTAGATATAAGATCAGAAAGTATAATCCATAAAAGAAAACAAATGATAATTGGATTTCATCAAAATAAAAAACTTTTTTATCTGTAAAAGACACTTTGAAGACAATAAAAAGTCAAGGTACGGTTTGAGAGAAAATATTTATGAATCATAATCAAGGATTTGTATCTAGAATATACAAAGAATGCTCAAAACTCAATAGTAAGAAAACAACCCACTAATCCCATTCCTAGGTATGAAAACATACTCATCCACAAATATGTACAAGAATGTTTATAGCAGCTCTATTCACAAATGCACCAAACTGGAAACAACCCAAACGTCCTCCAGCAGATGGATGGATAAACTATACTATGTCCATGCAATGGAATACTACTCAGTAAAGAAAAGGAATAAACTGATACACAACAACTTGAATGGATCTCAAAGGCATTATGCTGAGAGAAATATGCTGGTATCAAAAGATAGACATTGTGAGACATTTATGAGTCCATTTATATGACATTCTGGTAAAGGTAAAACTACAGCAACAGAGAACAGATCAGTGATTGTGAGAGTTAGGGCTTCAGGGACAGTATGATGACATAGGAGCAGCACAAGGGAGTTCTGGGGTCATGGTTCTGTTTTGTATCTTGGCTGTTCTTACCCACTTGGCAAATTCCTACTTATCCTTCTAAGTCTCCAACATTTCATCCATACCAGTATTATCACGCTTGCCAGCTGATACTATAACTTAACTGTTTCATATTTAAGGCACCACCTAACACCTCTCTGAAAGACTGCAACAGCAGGAATCACACTCATGCATCTGCAGCTAGTATAGGTGTTGGGACACACTGAATACCCAATATTTATTAAATAAATACTGAATGGATGCCCCCAGGCAGAACTGCTTCCTCATTCATGCTCCCAGAACACTTGGCTTATACTGTCAATTAAATCATCCATTCAATAAACACACATTGAACATTTACTGTATCTCACACTTTGCAAGGCTTTGTTAGTATAGAGCTTATTCCATCATCTTATGGCCAGTTGTATTCATGTTTATGTAAATATACAATTAGATCGTAGTCTACTTAAATTTGGCACTGAGTCTTACTTTATTGCCTAATATAAGTAGGAATGTAGTAGACGCAACTGATGTTTATGAGGTTGAATTAAATAAAATTGACCAAAAAATGCCTATTTGGAGATGGCAATTGTTGATAATATTTTATTCCAAAATAGAACAATTAAATATTACTCTCACAGCATATTTATACCCATATTACCTTCATACTATATCATGAGCCCCAGTAAACTTCAGGCTCTGAGATTAAAAGTCCCACACCATTATATTCTTAGTAAAGGATAGTTTAACTTCGGAATTTACAAAGAGAATAGAAATTACAAAATAAGTTTTCTTCACTCTCTGGACAATCCCAAGCATTTCACGGACAGGAAAGATGTTCAACACTATTCCACTGAAGGAGTTATTTATTCTTGACCTTAACTATGAATAAGTTTATGTTCTCAAGTATAGAATTCACAATTCTCATATCATCTCAGCCAGCATGACTGTAGGTGTTTTTCTTATTTATAAAAATGCCTTATCCTTTAGAAAAAAAATCCTTAAGCTATTTTTATGTAGTGATTATTCCTGGAAAACATTTGCATTGCACTTAAAAGGGGGCCATGGTGTTGATCAGGGGGAAACTATAATTGCTTGCGATCCACCTGCAATGATTTCAAGTAGGCAGGCACATCTCCAATTTCTCTGAATTGTACTAAGATCTTATTTGCTATTCTTGCTAATCTGTCTTTATTTTTCCTTTACCCAGAACAATAACATTTATTTCTGCCTGGCCTCATTTATGCACAGATATTCAATTTAATTACAAAGATAATCTCACCAGTGACAGGGAAATAGGTAAAGAAAATTGGTCTTTTGGATGAAGCACAGCTGCTACATAAACAATTTTAGAAAAGCTTAAGATTTTAGAAAAGCTATTATATAAAAAGAATGCTTACTGCTTGTTTATTTCAAGAAAATGATAAAGATTAAACGTGACCATTCCACTAGGTAATATTCCTTCCACAGGATTCCACCGGTTCCCAGGAAACTTGACACCTGGTAAATGCTTTGCCATCTTGGGTAAATACCACTCATAAGTCATCATCTGGGTAGAAAGATAACAAATGGTATCATGCTTTTAATATGTCTCTTTAAAAAGAATCAAGTTTATCAAGGACAATGAAAAAGTTCTAAACTGTAGAGGTAATCATTAAATATAAACAACTGAAAAATAAATACAAACACAACTGAGGCATGTGGCACTGACTACTCTTCTAATGACTTAACCCTTAGATTTCACGTCTTAAGTTACAACTGTCATCCATCAGTAAAGTCAGCACCTCGTTTCATTTACCTCCATGCAGTTGTCAGACTACCCAGAATGACCTCCCATTCTTACATCTGGAATGTGACTACTGAGCTTTCGGAACTGGCTTCAATGCCACCGCCTCTGTGCAGCCCTCCCCAGTCTCTGCAGCAGAACAGTATGCTCCTATAGCACTTTGTACCTACCTCGATCATAGCTCTTAGCCTATTCCTCACTAGACTGTGAGCTTCTACAGGAAAGGGACAGTATCTTTTCATGTCATTGCCTCTGCACCTAGCACATGGCCTGGCATAGAACAGTTCCCAAACTATGTCTGCTGGAGCTGTAATGTCTTTTTGATGGCCAGACTAGACAACCTAGGCAAAATATAGAGATGTGTAATTACTCTTTGCTTTCACTCATTTATTTGAAAAACAAATATCACTTACCTATGATGAAAAAGACATAATCTGTGTCCCTGAGAAGCTCAACCTAAGCCTCAAAGTTAAAAACCTTTTTGCCAAATTATCTGAATTTATTACTATCTCCAAATTAATTATATATCCTTACATACTCTTTTGATTAAAATAAATCCTTAGTATCAGAAAAAATTATTTTAAATTAATTTTTCTTAATTCTACACTTAATATATACTTCATTCTACACTTTTATATGTAGAGTTCTTTCTTTCTTTTTTTTTTTTTTAAAGAAAAGACTCCTATTTATACCTTCAAAGCTTCATTAAAGTTTGGATATTGTTTGAGCAGTTATGCTTTTATTTCACTTGTCTGTATAAGTCTAACTGGAAATGACTAATTTTAATGTAAGTGTACATTATAAGTACTTAAAAATACTTACTGAATTAGATTTTATTACCCAATAGTTTCAGTTCTTGGGGACAGTAACATTAATTAAGTACCCACTGTGTGCTATGACCTTACTGTTTCTTATTTAATTCTCATGATGAGCTTATTATGCAAGGATAATTATATCAGATACTGTGGATTGCCCACTCAACAGCTAATCATTCTTTCCAACTAACACAACCCTGGTTTTAATCAGGTAGTTCCAGTCATTCTCCTTTGCTAGTGAGTAGTTTACGAGTGGTCGTATGACCTCAATACTGGTTACTGGGGCCTGAGTGAAAGTCTGCTGGGGGCATCTGGGGCACATGCTACTCCCAATACAGACAGAAAGAAATAGAGAGAAATATATATATATATACACACACACATATATATATATTACACACATCTTATATATACATATATATAGAGGTGGGGGGGACACTCCAGAAGCACTTTGCATGTGATGTTTGGAACCAGGCACCCATCAGTTCAAGAGACCTGCAGAAAAGCTGCCCCAGAAAACTATCTGTGAACTGCTTGTATTATCAGTCCTAAAACCTCCTATCTCCAGACTACTTGTTTTGTGAGATTAAAAATTCCATAGTTTAAGCTACTTTTGGTCAAGAATTTTGTTTCTCATGCTCAAAAGCATCCTATACTTACATGATTATTTCCATTTTATAGACAAGGAAACAAGCTCTGAGAGGAAAAATCATTAGCCCCAAGTCACATCCAGGAAGTGAGAGGATGAGGACTTGAATTTAGGTTTAACTTTGAAGTCCAAGCTTCCCAACCATAGTAGCTGTCATCCCAAATAGTATTTAAAACCTTAGTATTACACCATCTTATCAACAAATGAGCTAGCTTTTGTCAGATGCTATACCAAAGATCAAATTAATCATTTGTATACATGATACCAGTGCAAACTGCTTCTAAAAATATGTGTAATTTTCAAATTTCCCCATATTTGCAAATCTGCTTATAGTTTCCACAAAAAAATTATTCATTAATTGAATGACATTTATTACATAAGTATTGCGCCTAACACTTTGCTCAGACTAATCACAGTATTTTTTTTCAAGGTTAAGAATTTCTCTTCTCCTGATAACCATTCTAAAAACCCCAGAGATAGATTTGTTAGCTATTTATGGTTTAAACAATAAATCCTGTAGTTTAAATATGTATTTTTTCAGTTCCAGAAGATTGTTTTAATAGATCTTGACATTTTCACAAGTCCTCTCCAAACATACTTTTGTCATAAGATCAACAAGATTTACACACATGTTCTATAACACAATTGTGGTTAATAATTTTTATTTTGAGTGAACTATTTACTTACCTGCAGTATGACTTATTTTATAGTCAACCTAATTTATTTTAATCCCTGGACCAGTGGGCAGTGTTAATTTGAATGGTTGAGTTGGCTGGATGTAAAAGAACAATTTAAAAATAAATTTACAACACAATATTTTCATAGTCTGTCATGTGAACTAGAGACCTAGGAATGTTACCTGAATCTAATATGAAACACATTCATTCTTAAAACATTCGGTTTAAAAAAGAAAGAAGCAACTCATGGCTTTTCCTACTAGTTAAAATAAACAAAAGAATGTGATATATATTTTACCTAAGAGTGATCATGAAAACCATACGCATCACACTGTTGAAAAAAAGTTTTTTTTTAATTTTAAATTATTTATATTACTATACTCTAAGTATATTTTTCATATACTTACTTCCTGATCCACTAATGAAATATCTGGCCTCAGTCCCTCGCAATAATGCATGTAACGGAGAGAATTCCCTGGCAAATCTCCTCTGAGTAAGATAATTGCATCATGCGGCACAGAGGCTAGAAGGTTCTTTGCAAACTTATCGATCACATAGTTGGTACTCTGGTCACAAATGCTAAATAAAAGGATCACAAAATATTAAAATAGCATCACATTGCTTTAGCTTTAATAAGACTGAGCTTATTTACCACTCCATTCCTTTCCTATTACACAATCTACATTTAGTGTTTTACAGTATTCTGATTTTTATTTTCTAAGAGGATGCATATATTTGAAAAGTGAATGCTATTAACTGGGAAAAAAAAGAGGGAACTGCACTTGAAAAAAAAATCAGTGTACTGCTTTACTTCTGGAATTCATAATCACTTCCATAAAAAGGAAGTCACTGAGTGCTCAAGAATAAGTCCTTTTTTCCTAATAACATATCCAATTTCACTAAAAAGAAGTAAGGTTTCTGATTCCACTTGGAATTTAAGTTAATTTCATGTAAATTCCACTTACTTCAAAGGAATTTTCAGAAATGCAAAAGGAAATCTGGCAGTTTCTGGTCTAAACTTGTACATTTGTCTGATTCTCCTGCACATCGATCCCTTCCACCACTTCCCTGGACCAGAGGCTCCCTGTGTTCCTCTCTCCCTTCTGGACTGAGAAATCACTAGGGAATGAGGTCAGTGAGAAGGAAGGAAGGAATCATTTGTTGAGATGTTTACTTCTCTCCAGGCATTATTTGCCATTGCCAAAAACAGCAGTACAACTCTTTTCAAGGATGAAGTGGACTTTCTAACTTCAAAGAAAAACTGGGATGCATTCTAAGAGCGTTCCATGAAAAAAGAAAAAGACCCCAAGAGAGTTAAAAGCATCGAAAAATGGAACAAGCAATGTCGTTCCTATTATTATCAGGTCCATTACATGTAATGGTGCTGAGAAACACCACCTAAAGTTGAATCACTGGGTTATCATCACAAAGCAAATAAACACTTCCAGGAACAAAATATTATTCTTGCCTTTGTAACTGATGCAACTGTTTCCTACTATGATTCCCTACCTTGCAGGGTGATGCCTCACACTTTGCCACCCAGCAAAGTTACTATCTTTCATTCACCTGGGGCCAAAAAAGAAAAATGTGCAGGCATCACTGGTGTGGAAACTGGAATGCCCTGAAGACCCAAGCTAGGAGAAGACCTGTAGGCTTGGCAAACCCTTCTTGAGCTAGCTCTGAAGTTGCGTCTGGGATCAGCATCCTTTTCTCACAAAGCCTCCTGGGGACACAGACTCCCTAACACTGGCTCTTTCCTCAGTATTATAAAGAACATCGGTTTTTAAAGCTAAGTTGAAAGGGAAAACGTAACCTTTTAAAATATTAATCAGATCTCCCTAAAACAAAACTCCAATAACTTCTATTTCTCTAATGTCTACTCAATACTGCTGCAAATAAATGAATTATCATCTAAACTTTTACCTCTTTTATGTTAGACTGAGGTTTTCATTGTAATGATTATTAAGCAGATTTTGAAAAATACATATAATACTAATAATGCACAAGGGTTAAGAAACTTAGAACTTTGGTTATTTAAAATTACATTCACTACTACAGAATGTCCTAGATAAGAGCCAAGTACCACTCTACAGGTGAAATCTTTGAAGAATAAAGTGAATTATTTTAGGGCATATAAAACAGCCCAAATGTCTTTACTCTCCATCTAAGTGGTATTTTAGATCATGGGATTTTACATATAATCCAGATTCTACAAAGTATGTCTAGGATTCCTTAGAGGAAAATACACAGATAGATTAAATGTACCACCCGAACTCTTGTTTGCAATGCCCTGAAACTACACGTCACTCATGCTGAGATTCTTGTTCAAAAGTTTAAGAACCACTGTATTCAGACCAAGCTGTCTCACTTTGAAAACTAGGGAAAGATAAAATAAAGCCCTAGAATCTAAATATCCAAATGTCTCTGGCTTGAGTGCTACTTTTCATAAAAATAACCATGTTACCTGTAATTAGAATATATTTGGTAAATCACAAAAAGAGTGGCTGAAAGCCATTCCAGACACTGAAGCCCGCTGGTGTTCAGCACTCGGTTACTCTCAGAAACAAGTGCAGGCAAACCAACACCGGCAAGGACAGCCACGACCGCGTTGCTCTGCATCCAGAATCGTTCCACCTGTGGAAGAGGCAGGCGAACAGAGCGTCCACGCGACGGGTTCATGCGACCAGTCAGGTACTTAAATACTTTAAAAATATACTGCATGCACCTCGTTGTTTATGCCTGTGTCATTTAGGTCTTCTTAATGGACTTGCCCCACCCAACTCCATGTCGCTTTATTTTTCACTTTTCAAGCATTCTTTCTCCCCAGTTTGACGTGTGAATCTCCCTTTTGGATCCACATAGTCTTTTCTATACTACGAACTTCATCTTGAACTCTTTATTCCAACATGCAAAGTGGAAGGGGGTGATGTTTCCTTCCGTGTGGAGAGGCTCCACTGGTATAACACTTCTGGCCTCTGTCTGCCCCTCACTTACTTTCTCCAGAAGGACGTGGGGACTGAGCTGACTGGGGAGCTGGAGACAGCCCTGCTCATCCCTCTCTCTTCCTCCTGGAACTGGGGTGCAGGTGGGCTGCCTGTGCAGCACTGCCTGTGACTAGTGGGCAGGGATGTCCATTCTGGGACGCAGGATGAGGAAGCTCCCTTGCCCATAGATATTAACGACATTTTCCAATCTCAATGTTAATGGTAATAAAGGTGATTCTCCCATCCAATATACTTGTTTATCTTGTTTTGCAATTAATTCAGAACTCAGGTGATCAAGTAAGGTATTATTCATCAGGTCTCTTGAACACACACACACACACATAAAACCAGTTGGTTTTAGCTATTAAAAAGTTGCTATCTACATTTACAGAGTTTCTATTAGAAGGAGAAGAAAAACTGTAATCTCAGACATCATAGTCAGGGAAAAACAGAAATGTAATCACTCTTTTGCATAGGCTTGTACTGATGAGGTAAGAAATAAGGGAATGTACTGGTAGAGCACCTAATTACAACCCATTTTCTTTTTTGATATTTTAAAAGAATTCCAGGAGAAATGCAGTAGTACCTATATCTGTAAGCACACATATAAAATGACTCACTTAAATTTACCTTACATTTATTTTTCTTTTAAACTCTCATGTTAACTATATAATGCTTCTTTCCCCTCAAAGAGCCCTTAGCCTTATTGGTTCAATAATTTAACTTCTGATTTATAATAATGTATATACAATTTTAACTATTTCTGAGATAACTTGCTCTTCTACAAGATTCATGAAAGACAAATTTGTACATTCTTCACAAACTTTCTGGTCAAAGGATATATCTAAGTAAAACTTACCACACCCATGAAAAGTGGTTTTGAAATATCTAAATTTGCCCTCCAAGCAAAGAACAATGAATAAATGCAAAACATTCCAGTAAAAAGCCATACTAAGGATGGATTCTGTCTGTCCCTATAAAAAATTAAAATATGTCCAAAATTATTTATGTGACATGAATATCAATAATAATATTACATAGGTTTAAATTATGGGAAAAACACTTGGAACTATAAAATGTTCCACTTTTAAGTATGAAGAAAGAAAGGTTTAAAATATTAGTTGGAATAGGTAAACAAAGCATAGTAATAAACAACACACTGCACTGCATATTATGAACAACTTAACTGGAAACTATGCAGCAAAAGATATGAAGTTAAAATCTGCAGAAGAAATACAACTTACTAAGCTTGTTAAATTAAAGATGTAATTAAACATATGCAAAACAAAAGAATAATTTCATGCATCAAAACAATAAAGATTTGAAAATGACAAATCTCAGTGCTGGTGAGAATGAAGTTGTATGAGAATTAGCATTAGTACAATCTTCAAGAAAAGTTAATCTGATAATATGTATCAAGAACCTTAAAAATATTCACATTTATTGACCCAATAACTTGACATGTGGGCATCAATCTTTAAGCAATAACCAGAAATGTGGATAAGAATTATTCCATAAAAATGCTTTGGTATTACTTGTAATAGTGGAAGAAGTGGAAGCAATTTAAGCTCTTCAAATAGGAGAACATTTAAATTAATTCTACTAGGTTGTAGGATGGAATATTACACAGGAATTTAAATGATTCTAAGTATTTTTTTAAGGTATGGGAAAATGCTCACAATATAATGTTAAGTGTTAAAGAAAACTATAAATGTATATAATACATACATTTACATAAAAATACACTCAACAGACTAAAAAGTTAAATGAATAAGAAATTAATGAAGGTTAATAGTGCTATATTTTTTAGGTTTTCTTTTATCATCAGAGGCTACTTTTGTCTTCACGGAAGTTCAAATTGCTTGCTTTTTTTGCAAAAACAACAGTAATAATTGGCTATGGGGAGAGTAAGAGATCAAGGCAGAAGTTTAAGACATCAAATGGCTCACCTGGTTAGATTACAATGTACTGCTCAATTTTTTTAAGGTCATTAATTTATAACCAGAAAAAAAAGTAGCAAAAGATGCAAGACATGTTTACCTAAACAGGACTGGTTAGCATTATTTATCTGGAGTATAAAATACTACTGGCAATGTTCTACAATGACACTGAATATGTTAATTTAATTAATGAACATATGAAAAGTAACAGAAAGAGGAATTACACTACTCACTTTCTTGCTAAACATACATTTGCCCAAACTGCAAGGGCTTGAATGTTGAAGGAGAGTTCGGTCCTCATATTTGTCATTTGAGAACTGTAAAAGACAATCTCACTTATTGTTGGCAGGAAGTAAATTTGTGAGTTCCAAGTAAAAGTCTCTTTGTAGAATACACCTGATTGTGCACTGAATAATTTTAAGGCCTAGAGTCAGATTTTAAAGTTATTTTGTGTTCTTTTAAATTTGGGAGAAAAAGTAGCACAAGAAAGGGTTAAACAGTTCTAAGATGTTTTCCAGATGTAACATCTGGTTACCAACTTATACAATTTGGGATAAGATAAGAACAAATAATTCTTCAGTATTTTGATATTGGTACAATGATTTATGAACCAATCTGTAGCCCAGTCATGGGAAATAGCTTTTTGAACCTTCTGCTGTTGGCAGTGCAGACAGGCATGACCTCCAGTGACAGCAAATGAAAACAAAACTAATTCAGGTAGTTTTCTGGAGATCCAATCATGGAAAAAAAAAGAAAGAAAAAAGGATGAGAAGTGATCTCCAACCATCCTTTTCTGGATTATCTTCTTCCTTAAAAAGCTTCCTAATTTTCTATATTATTTGGTTCAAAAACTGTTTAAGCAATCTCCAAGAAATGTACTTTTTTCCCTCCTACAATTAATCTAAATCCTTTCATTAACTAATACGCATTTTCCAAATGTTAGCTGAGTTCTCAAAGAGCCCTAGCAGTCTCCAATTTTTAAAAATGAAATAACTCTATACACTATCTCAAAGAACTTTCTTCTTCCTACTGGCAATTTTACTGGAGAAAATGTGATGCCATAATTATGGAAACCACACAATATATATTTTACTAATGGAGACTCATCGACTGTGAGAGGATATCCTTACTCATTTTCAAATACACTTGAAAAACGGATTCCAGCATGAGGCCCATTTCAAACCATTCTTCAAAAGGAATGAAGTCAGTCTCAAAATTAATTCTTGGAGATCTGTCGCCCTAAATGTAAGCTCTAAAACATAGTCACTGCCTAGGGTTAGATTCAATAATTTCCAGTATGCAGTCCAACAGGATTGCAATTGAGAGATATGCGTGAGGAAAGAATGCAATTTGCTTTAGTGGAAAAGGGTAGATGATTAAGTTCCATCATGTTGAGGGATTTTCTAATAAGTTAATTATGAGTTGCCTTTCTTAACACTCCTGTCCACCTGAAACAATTAAAGACTAGAAATTCTCTCACTCAGAGAGTGCTAGGATTATGCCCCATTTGATATTATGACTTGGTTCGAACAGATAGCATCAGGTATGAGTGGTCATCACTTTTGTCAAGTCTTTTTCTGGGTATATGACCTAACTGCTATTATTTCAATGGGAAGGAGGCCTCTAAATTCTCCAGAAGATGACATTTATGTGCAACTAATGAAAGTTACATATATGATCTAGGATTACTCCTGAAGCTTCTTTGGAGTTCATGTGGGATTTGTTAAGGCAAAATATACCAGTGATCCTGCGTGTTATGCCGGAAGGTAGATAGAAAAGAGCAGGCAGTCAGCCTTTTGGCGTGAAGAAAAGCAGGACACAGGAAAAGCCCAGAGACACTGGTAAAGCTGCCTTTATCTTTAAAGGGGAATTGAACTTCTTCCAACCTTCTCCCCGACAGAAAAGAAAAAGGAGCCACAAAAATCTCAGTCAGACTTAAAAAGAAATATTTCAAATCAACTCTATGAACCATCGAAAGCTTATATAAAAATAATTGGTGGCAGGGAAATATTTTTAAGATATAATACTAAATGAAAAACAGCTGGTTAACAAAACAATGCATACTATAATTCCATTTTTAAAAACAAGCAAAAATGTAAAAAATATTAGGATAGGGACAAAAATGTTAATGGACTAATAGTAGTGGTTATCGCTGCATGTTGGAATTATAGGGAATTTCAATTTCTTTGGTTTGCTTACCTATATTTTCTAAGTTTTCTATAGTAATTATGCATCATTTTTGGAGTAGAAAAAGAGTAATTTAAAAAGAAAAGAAGGAAGTATAAAGGAAGCAAGCAACCCACCAAAAGAACAAGACAGAAACTGAGAATCTATGAACCACCTCACATACAGAATTGAAATATTTCACCCATATTTTAAAAATAGTTTTCAAATAATCTTGTGAATTCCAAATTAATAGGAGATTAATAGTTAGTACAGAGAATAGAGAAACCTACTCACCCTCAATTTTACACTGAAAATATTATAAGAATATTACAGAATTGGTATGGATATTTTTTAAGTTGTCTTAATCTGTGCAGGTTTTAAAAGCAAATATTAATCCAGTTTTCAAAGAACACTAGTAGATAATATAGATGAAAATATATTTACTTAAGCTGACTTTTAGTAAGGTTGGATGTTTAAAAATATGTAAGTAAAAAATACAGCTTAAGCACAGCCTAGAGGAAGTCTTAAAACTATTACGTAAATTAAGATTTGAAGAATTAAATGAACATAGCACAAACCCAAATAACAAGAAAATAATTGTTCAAATTGTGCTAAATACAATGTTATAAAGTATCTCTAAAAGAAAAGATGTAAACAAAGAATAAATTATTTATAGAGCAACAATACATTAAGTAATTTTGTATCCAACTGAAAGTTGAAACATTTTCATTTTATAGATTCTATTTAGTCTCCTAATAATCTTAATCACTGTTGCATTTATTGTTCATTTTAAGCTTACTGAGGGAAATGCTAGAATATCTGACAGTATGCACAACTGTTAACTATAGAGGTGAAAACTACTTCTCAGATGTACTGCTCCACAAAGAGATAAACCCAGAAATCCCTAAAATCATTTAAAGGAACTAATAAAGAATTCACTTAAAAACAGTTTAAAATATTTAAAATACTCACAGCAGTATTTCAGACATACTGGATCCTACTTCAGATTTAGCCTAAACAGAAAAGAGAAAAGTTTATTTGCACAAGCATTAAGCAGAAGCTTTGGTAGGCTATTGTATTTTAACTACTTTGATTTAAAAGACACAAGTTTCAAATATACAATGCAACGTGTCTCTTCAAAGTGTTTTACTTTTTAAAGAAAAGTCAGTGAAAACTAAACATGGATATCCTTTAGGAATAATTTCAAAAATAATAATTGGCTAAAAATCAGTTAAACTATTCTAGCAGGAATGATTAACACAATAATGAATTAACAGAATTTACACTTTCGTTACAGAGTCTCTTTAAGCTCTTTTTTGGGCACTTGATTAGAGCTCATTATCACCTGTCTATAATTTCACAGTTATATGTGAATTATACACATTTCAAATCAGGAATGGCCCTCAAGCAGTATTTTAATGGAATAACCAATGTAAGTAAATCAGAGTGTAAATTTAAAATATCAAACTTTCTAAGCAAAAATTAATAATTATCCTTTTATTAAATAATTTTATTATGAAATATCTCCTACATATTAAAAAAATGTAATATACATTTAGGGGATAAAGAGTTTTAAAAAAAATCTACAGACCCACCACTCATTTAAGAAACAGAACCACATGAATGCACCCAAGGTATCTCACAAAGCCCTCACAGGGCTCTCATCTCCCAGGGGCAACTATTACCTTGAATTTTGTGTTAGTTTTCCCCCTACTTTCTAAAAATGTAAATTTTACTACTTCTGTATGTATCCTTGAGCAAGAGATTGTTTAGTTTTTGAACGGTTTAGAATTTTGTATAAATGGTATCATATAATATTGTAGTCTTCTGAGATTTGCCTTCTTAAGTAAGACACAAAAAGCATAAACCATGAAAGAAAAATCAGACACAACTGTCTATCTTAAAATAAAATCCCATACGTTTATCCTTTCGTTTTTCAGATAACCATTACTTACAACCACATTTAGTGTTTTCCCCTAATTTATGTCTCAGGGAAAGCAAGGCCTTTTGAAATTCTTTAGAACACACTGTTTTCATTTAGAGAGTTCATCTTTTATGATGTATTTACGTATTTAGATCCTCCACTAAATACTAACATGAACACTTCAGCAAATATGTTAAAAAAAAAAAAGAAACTATTTTGGTCAAGGTAAATTAAAAATTTTGAGGTGTTTTTCTTTAATCTTTTCCAAATGTTTTTAATCACAGACCAAGAGCCCAAAGTGATACCCAATGCTAACAAGGCTGTAATGCTTCAATTATTGGCAGCAGAGCTTTTTTAATGCTTGTTATCCTGAAAAATATATTCAGGATATACAAAGGATGATGTCAGGGGATTCAGTTTTTTCCTAACATACGTGAAAGGCCATATTCCAAAAGGCAAGTCTCTTATATACATGACATGAAAATCTCACGCACTGTTATTGATAAACATTGATTTTTATTTCATTCAAGGTTCAGGCAGAATACTGAAGTTTTGCCACTTATTTCCTTAAAAGGGCTTTAAATATAAATTTACCAGACTGAATGTTCCATATTCTTCCCTGAGAAAATGCGTCAAAAATCCTAGCAGCGTTGTCTGGTCTCCCCAGGTCCAGCGGGCTTGGTTGAGGTAGGATGAGACAGGGAGGTAGGCGTAGGGCAGCAGACCAGCGGAGAAGTACAGACCCAGCTTCCACAGGGCGCCCAGGGAGAGTTCCTGCGTCAGAGCACACGGTGTCACACGTATCACAGTGTTTATTTTAGTCAGATTCATCCTGGAACTTCAAGAACACATCAAGGAAAACATCAAATATGTTTACTCAGAGCTGATCTCTCAATTTATATTAAGTCACCGCACAATACTATGTTAAACCTTCTGATTACTGTGGATTACTAGAAAATTGCATCAGCCTGAACTCCTTTGCATGGCAGGTGAAATCTGAGTGAAGCAAATATTAGCAAAGACTCATGAGTATCATGTTTATTGCATCTTTTACATTTAAAACCATGTCATGACATGCAGCATTGCACAGCTGAGATAACCCACTTGGAAGTGATTATGGTGTTTGGCTGATTTTGAATATGCCCCAAATACTGTCCTAATACCAGTTCACTTCATTACCATCACCAGGAGTAGACTTCAACTATACACTCTATTATGGCTGTATGTTGACAATATGTTCTTTCTACAAAGGTTTTTGGACATTTCATGGACATACTTGGCACAAGTGAAGCTAGCTTTTAAATAACCTCAGTACATTCAAATGCTCCTTTTTTCTCAATTTACATATAGAAAGAAAATTTGTTGTTGTATGTAACAGTGTTGCCTCATATGAGAATATATTTCTCATCTGCACATTTCTAAAACAAAGGACAATATTGCCAAAATTTTATAAAGATTATGTCCAATACAATTCTGATATACTAGAAAGGTTCACATGGTGGTTACTTTAGTAATTGGGAAAGGGGTCTCTTACAAATATCATGATTGGAAATTGCCAATTTTTCCTTTACAAAAAAGGAAAATTCATATGTGACAATGAATATGAGAACCAAGGTTCACATTCACCAGAAGTAGAAAAGCAGTTCACTTATATTAACACTTTCAAATAAACACTTTTAATTGAAAATGGAGTGTTTTTATTATAGCACTGACTTCACTTGACATTTCTAAAGTGGTAATGAGATGCAGAAAAATGGTGGCATGAAAAAAGTGTAAGAAATAATTAACTGAACAATATGCCTTTGCTGCTCTTTAAAGTAGCTTTAAGGAAAGTAAATGTTTAGATTTTGGCAGTTTCTGCATATTACACAGTTCAATTTAGAATGGTAAGATGCAGTTGCTGAGGAATTTTCCTTTTGTGAGAGAAATAAAGAGAGAAACAATTTCATGAGAGCTATTTCGGAGAGTGCTGGAGAGTGGTTCTGAGTTCTAGCTGAGATCACCCGAGCAGTGAGAGCCAGCTCCCTGTCACTTCACTGATAGATCATATTTTTGAGCCTCTGCTCTGTAAATAATGAAAATAAAAGTTCCTGTGAAGAGTCAAACTTCCCCAAATTTCATCATTCATCAGTAGCTGACCAGTTTCTCACACCAGGCTCCTAGCTTGTCAACTCTGAGTCTCAGGTGTTTCATACAAGCACTTGGCTCTCCTTTCAAACAATTAATACAAAATATTTGCTTTTTAAGTTCTTCACAGAGAATGCACCCATCATAAAATAATTCTGATTTAATTTATCTGAGCATACATTAACATAATAAAAGCCATATATGATGAGTCCACAGCTAACATCATAGTCAATGGTGACAGGTTGAAAGCTTCTCTTCTAAGATCGGGAATAAGACAAAGATGCCCACTCTCACCACTCATGTTCAACATAATACTGGAAGTCCTAGTCAGAGTAATTAGGCAAGAAAAAGAAATAAAAGGAATCCAAATTAGTAAGGAAGAAGTAAAACTTCTCTGTTTGCACATGACATGATCTTAAATAGAAAATCCTAAAGATTACATCAAACACTGTTAGAACTAATAAACAAGCTCAGGGAAGTTGTAGAATACAAAATCAACACACAAAAATATACTAACAATGAACTACCTAAAAAAAAATAAAGAAAACTATCTCATTTACAATAGCATCAGAAAAATTAAATACTTAAGAATAAATTTAACCAAGGAGGTGAAATATCTGTATACTGAAAACTATAAGACATTGCTGAAAGAAAATTGAAGACACAAATAAACAGAAAGATAGATTGTGTTCATGGATTGAAATAATTGATATTGTTAAAATGTCCATACTCTCCAATGCCATCTATAGATTCAATGATATCCCTATCAAGATTCCAATGGTATTTTTTACTAAAATCTTAAAATTTGTATGAAACCACAAAAGACCCTGAATAGCCAAAGCAATCCTGAGAAAAAACAAAAGCTGGAGGTGTCATATTTGCTGATTTCAAACTACATTACAAAGCTCTAGTAATCAAAACAGTATGGTACTGGCATAAAAACAGACTAGACCAATGGAACAGAATCGAAAGCCTAGAAATAAACCCATGCATATATGACCAACTAATATATAACATGGGAGTCAAGAATATTAAATGAAAAAAGGATGGTCTCTTCAATAAATGGTTTGAGAAAGCTGGATAACCTTATGCACAAAAATGAAACTGGACCCCATCTTACATCACTCACAAAAGTTAACTCAAAATGGAGTGAAGACTTAAATGTATGATCTGAAAACATAAAACTCCTAGGAGAAAGTATAGGAAAAGGGCTCCTTGATTTTGGTTCTGGCAATAATTTCATGGATATGACACCAAAACCACAAGCCATAAAAGCAAAAATAAAGAAGTGGGACTATATCAAACTAAAAAGCTTGTGCATGGAAAAAGAAATGATAAATAAAATGAAAAGACAACCCATGGAATGAGGGAAAATATTTGCAAACCATATATCTGATAAGGGGTTAATGTCTAAAATATAGAATGAACTCATACAACTCAAAAGCAATAAAACAAGTAATCTAATTGAAAAATGGGCTAGGGACCTGAATAGACATTTTTCTGAGAAGATATTTAAATGGCTAACAGATACATGAAAAGGTGCTCAATATCACTAATCATCAAGAAAACATAAATCAATCTGAAATATGTATAGTTGACTGTACAGAAATTATACCACGATAAAGTTGTTTAAAAAACAAAAAAGAAAATACAAATCAAAACCACAACGAGACGTCACCTCACACCTGCTGAAATGGCTATTACCAAAAAGACAAGACATAAGAAGTGCTGACAAAGATGTGGAGTACTTGTGTACTGTTGGTAGGAATGTAAGTTGGTGCAGCTGCTATGGAAAACAGTACGGAGGTTTCTCAAAAAATTAAAAACAGAACACCATATGATCCAGCAATTCCACTTCTGGTTATATATTCAAAGGAAATGAAATCACTACCTCAAAGAGATTATCTGAATCCCCGTCTTCATTGCCACATTTTTCATAATAGCCAAGAAATGGAAACAACTTAAGTGTTCATTGATAGATGAATAGATAAAGAAAATATGGTACACATACACAATGGAATATATTCAGCCATAAAAAAGAAAGAAATCCTGCCATTTGCAACAACATTGCATGGATGAACCTTTGAGGGCATTATGATAAGTGAAATAAGTCAGTCAGAGAAAGAAAAATATTGTATGATTTCACTTATATATGGAATCTAAAAAAACTGAACTCATAGAAACTGAGAGTAGAGTGCTGGTTGTCAGAGGTGGAGGAGGGTGGATGATGGAAATGGGTGAAGGTGGTCAAAGTGTACAAACTGGCAGTTATAAGGTAAGTAAGTTCTGGGGATATGATGTACAGAATGGTGACTATAGTTAACAATACTGTATTTTATAGCTGAAAGATGCTAAGACAGTAGATCTTAAAAAGTTCTCAACAAACACACACAAATGTAATTATGTGAGATGATGGAGGTGTTAACTAATTTTATCGTGGTAATTATTTTGCAGTACATACACATATCAAATTATCATGTTGTATACTTTAAACTTTCACAATCTTACATGTCAACTAGATCTCCATAAAGCTAGGGGGAAAAAGAGAAATGAAGACTGGGAAAAAAAGGAGCCTGGCTAAGATGACTGATATCAGGGTGTCCATGCACCCATCAATTGACAAGAGAAATATTTGGGTCTCCTCACATTTGTATTCCACAGAAAAATCTTCACTGAGTTATACTTTGTTTTGTTTTGTTTTATATATATATATATATATAATTGAAGTATAGTCAGTTTACAATGTTGTGAGTTATGCTTATTAAAGTTATATCTCCATGTTTTATCCAGGGCTTATATAATTAAAAAAAAAACATATGAAGAACTTTCTGTGTACTCTATAAAACCACTGTTAAAGACAACTATGCAGTTTCATATTCCTTACATGAAGTCTTACATGACTGACTTAACAGAATTCAGTTCCATGAAATAGTTTATCTTTCCTGTCAACTGTTTCCTTTTTATTTATTTATTTTTATCGCAGAATAAGAATTTTATAACCTTCACATTACCCTATTGCTTTGCTGCCAAGAAGCCAAGAAAGAAAATGTACTCAAAGATAGTAAATACAATTAACTAAAGCTTTGGTATAATTATTTTCCTATTTCTAGATACTAATAGTATTATGTGTGCTTTTTCTAACATAATTCTGATGATAGCTTGGTATAAGTGACAAATAATGAAATGATAAATAAATGTGGCTGAGGTGTAGTTAGCAAACAAACAAAAAAAACAATAAATTAAATAAGTACAATGACCTGAGCACAGGTATTGTGTACAGACTGTTGTAACCTCTGGGGAGAGCCTGACAGAAGACAGAGCTCCTGTCTTTGCAGGGGCTCAGCTCTTCTGCCTGCCCACATTTCCCACTGCCTAACCAAGTAGTTTCCCTATATTGCCCTATACAGCCATTGAAATGTATAATCATTTTTCCTTTCAGGGAAAGAAGAAACTAAATCATTTCTAAGTCTAGGGAAATCTGTTCTGAGAAAACAGGGCTGTTACTCACCAGAGATTTTGTTATTTATTTCACAGGGGCAGCGATGGTGTCTGTTTTGCTGGGAGCTGAATCCCCAGCACCCAGAGCAGCATCTGGACAGGGCAGGCACTCAACAAACAGGTAGATGAGTGACTAGAATTAATACCCTATCCTTTGTCTTAGAATGTATAATGAAACAAGGAAGTTTGCTATTGTTGTTTTAAGTCCTGTTAACCCGTTTTCATCAAGGTGTGGTTAAGAATCAGGAAGAAAATTAGGAAACAAGCCAGATGCCACTGCAATCAATACTGCATAATTTTTGTAAATCCTTTTTTTTTTCAGTCAGTGTTGTTAGGGCCAACGGTTATTTATGCTTTATATAAAACTAAAATAAATAGGGGGGAGGGTATAGCTTAGTGGTACAATGCACACTTAGCAGGCACAAGGTCCTGGGTTCAATCCCCAGTATCTCCCTTAAAATAAATAAATAAACCTAATTACCACCCCCCTCAAAAAGAAAAATAAATAAATAAGTAAATAGATAAAATAAAGCCCCATGTTTTCTGATGCCATAAATGTCATATTGAGCTTAAATAAAATATTATGAATTTTCATCTGTACTCAAAAACCTACCTTTTCTTTTAAAAGTTGAAAGAGAATCCATGGTACTATGCACAAAACATAGAGCACTATTGTGTGCTGATTACATAAGCTAAGGCCACAGCAGAAAGCACCAATTTTAGATACCTGGAAATAAATAAAAGAAAGAAATCCAAGTTAAAAATTCACCTAGAACTATAAGTAAGCACAACAAAAAGCTAAAAAGCTATTCTTTATGTTAAAACTAATAAGCATTTGTATGATAGGTCAGGTTAGCATCAACCTCTTCGATGCAGTCACACTTTAACAGTCATCAATATCTATCATCATTATTTTTATTAGTATTTTTTCATTCTCATCAAATCATCACAGTCTGACTTTAAACTTCTGTCTTCAAACTAAGTTTTAGACAGTACTATATGATGACAGGTCCTAAGGGTAACAGGATGTTGTGTAATTCTCATTCAAGTGAAATCCATAACTGAAGCTCAGCAATTGATTCCATTTCACGTCTTCTCCTATTGAATTAAATAAATCAAATATAACACTTTTTATTTAGAAACCTGGTTATCTATGGGAGGCCTTTTTTCTATTTTTGAACATATGTTATTTTCAAAATCAGAAAAAAAGTTTATTTTAAACAAAAACTAAACTCTGAAAGCACCACGGGTTTGTTTATGGAAATCACAGATAAACTCTCTTGTTCTTTTGTTTCTGAATTCTTTAATGACACAGGGCTGCCTGTCTACTAAGATGATCTGGCACTCTTCAATGTGTAGACTGTAAGCCCTTAGAAGACAGGGTTCCTTCACACTTCAAATTACTTTGATGACAGCGTTGGCTTTAGAATTCACTGTAATCTCTCAGGAACCACTTCATTTTACATTTGATACTCTCCTTCATTTGAAGAGAAGTACAAATTTGATCTCTTTTACAATTAGGGAATAAGTCAATGTACCTACCATAATGGTAAATAATTTAAGGTGGTTGATCTGGAGCTTGGCGTCATGTAATCACACACACACACACACACACACACATGCACATGCACAAATGATGGTGGAATTAACCAAGTAGCCTATGTGTCCCATAGGATTTCAGAATCTCCTCTTTTTCCAAAACACTTTTGAACTCTGAGGGAAAAAAAATTCCCATGTTTTATAAAGGATCTTATGGTTCAGAGTAAAAGAACTGAGAATATTTTCTCCCTCAGCACGCCTAGATTACTTTGACAGTAATCAGAATAGATAAGCAGTATCGAAACCAAAGTTAAAAAGAAATACAGCATCTGCCTAAAAATTAAAACAAAAAGTGATTTCACTTTGATCAAAATAGGTTACCTTTGATCTTTCTTGTGCAGTTGCTGCCTCCTCAAAATGTACAGTAAGAGCCATAAGCAGCCCCACAAACAGATTGTTTAAGCTAAAAACCTCTGCTGCAATGGACCACTGCCATGTTAGACGAGAAAATGAAAACACCCCCGCAGCAAGGATTCCTCCAGCACATGAGCCAGAAAGCCTGCAAATATAGATAACATGAAATCTTCTTTCCCAACAAAAAGAACCGACTTTATTTTCCTTTTTATAAACTGTAGCAGCAGAAATTATGACAGTCGCCCAGCACCATCCCAATACATTAGATGGTTAATACATCACTTCATGTAATACTCCTCTCAACAGATTTTAATTATGAAGCCCATATATCGACCTATTAACAAACACATGAACAAACCTGCTTGGTATCCTATGGATTGAATGAGGTTTAGTTCTCAGATGTAACCTTTAGGATTCAAGCCAGTTCAGAAAGCCTGAAGAGACATTAGCTAGAGAGATAACAAACCTGTGTCATTTTTCTCATTATATCCATGAGGAAGGATGATAATGATGGTCTGGTTAAGATGGAAATATGTTTAATTGTAAAAATTAATGAAACGGCAGAATATCTGTTCAGGATCACTCATTCTCACTTCTCGTGGAATGTTTGGATCTAGGTACTTTCTTTTTTTTTTTTCAGCTGCAAAGAGCTATTTTTTAAATTTTTTTTATTGAGTTATAGTCATTTTACAATGTTGTGTCAAATTCCAGTGGGATCTAGGTACTTTCTACATTTATCTACCCAACATGTGGCAAAGTATGTCTTGGTCACGATACTTGGTGATTTTAAGATCTCGTAAGCTAAGTTCTTAGTTTCTTCTCTACACAAAGTAGAAGTTAAAAATGATATTTTTTTTAAAGAGAAGGATGGGAATGTGAATTTTAATAACACAAAAAGAATCAAATGCTACACTTAGAAACAAATTCCTTGCCCTCAAATGCCAACAAGAGCCACACATTTCAAATCAGGAATCTGGATCTCAATTCAGAGATATGACCTGAGACTGGTAAAGTGGATAGGGCATGTCAAACCAAAACAACTTCCCATTTCACTGTAAATCGGAAACTATAAAAATTAAAGCTATTACTGAGTATCTATTTCTAAAAAGTGTTACAAAATTCAACAAGCATTCCTGCATCTAATAATTATGATATTATATGGCCCAGGTCATTACATTTTAACTGTATTGTTTTGTATAAAAATTATGGAGTAATTGTATGGCTTTTAATCAACCTTAATAGAATAAAAAAAGCTAAAATAAAAATCTCAGTATTACCAAATCTGTTTTTCTTTGAGTTTCTCTTTCCAAATTTTCTGTTTTCTTTCCCTAATAAAAATCATCAGCTTCCTGTTTCTTTCAGAGTCCCCCATTCTCCCAGTTGTCCTAATTCAACACCCTGAAGTATTTCTTCCTTCCAAATTCCTTTCCAGATTCCTTTTGAGTTGTATTCCTACTGCCTTAGACTCAATTGTTTCAATAGCTTCCTAACTTGTCTTCTGTTTTCCACTCCTTCTACAATAAAACATCAGATTAAACCTTCTAAAACATACTCTTTAATTACCTAGACCCCAAACTTATGAACTCTTCATTGGCTGTAGGATAAATTCAGAACGAGTCAGCCTGGAATCCAGGCTTCCAATAAACTGGACCCTTCCTCGCCACTAATTACCAACATGAGTCCCACCCCCATGAGTAAAGCTCCTCAAAACTCCCTAATAAGACATTCCTATTCCTTGCTCCATACCTTTGCTCATGCTATATCCCTGAATTAATGTCCTCCCTGCTCCTTTCTATTCATTCAAATGCTACCCTTTTCTCAAATTTCTCTTTAATTCCCATGTTTCCAGCCCACCTCAGAACATCTGTAGCATTTAATTGTAAGAATTATTTTGACATTGTTTTGGAAATATGAACTGGAGTTAAACTCCACTTAGATTGGAAGCATCTAGCCCCAAGATCAGAATAGAACTCAGAAAATGAGAAAATGAATTAATCTTAAAGTATTAGTAACATTTTAAAAGAACTTCTAAGTTTCATCTGTCAATATGACTTTGGAAAGTCAGCATAAGATACAAGATTCCTTCCTCTCCTTAAACATGAATTAGCATCCTTGGAGAGAAATGGCTGATTCCAGGGCTGGGGCAGCTCAAGTACAAAACGAATCTGAAGCAACCTTTGCCAGAAAGCAAGAAAATGCTGAAACAAGGACATGGTAAAAGGACATAGGAGAGCCAGCTCAAAGGGCTCCAACTAGCCAAACTGGGGATCACTTGAGCATCAAGATAATTATAGTAATAGACTGTAACCTAACGAATATATAACAATCTATGAATCTAGTGATATAAATGAATGAAAAGGGAAAGTCCATACAAAGTCAACTAATAACTGTAGAAGGAAGGATGGAATTAGAAATCACCATTTGGTGACCATTATAGTAATAATCAATGGATACCAAACTAGTGGGTAAAGATTTATGGCAACAGAAAATATGTACAGTAGTCTAAAGGTACTACCCTGAAAATAGATTAATTACAAAGGAAAATAATGGTAAGTTTACAGTGGCAAACCTGTCAGACATAATCTTAACCACATGACCAAAGTTAACAGCCCAGTAATGGAACAGACAAACATCATATGCTTCCTGATCCATTCCAATGAAAAGAATACAGCATCATTTCTATGTTATTCCTGCCAAAAATGCATTACTTGAAGTTAAGCAACAGGGAAGACAAACTCAAATTAAAGGATATTCTACAAAATAACTGGCCTGTATGTATCAAAAACAAAACAAAACAAAACAAAAGAGCTCACGAGGGCTGTTTCAGATTAAAGAGACTAAAGGGATATTACAATAGAATAAAAGACATGATCTACGATTTTCTTCTACCAAAAGTATATTATTTGGGAAAATTGGAAAAATTGAATCAAGCCTGAAGATTAGATAACAGTGTTGCATCATTGATAATTTCCTGATTGTGAGATCTGCATATGGATGTGTAAACAATGTTCTTGTTTTTAAGAAACATAGAGGCATTTAAGGGTAAAAGGGTACCATGACTGCAGCTTATTCTTAAATGGTTAAAAAACAAAACAATAGGTACATACATACCAAGTCAAGAATAAAACAAATGTGGTAAAGTATTGACATTTGGGGAACCTGGGTAAAGGATAAAGAGGGGGCTACTCTTGCCACTTTCCTATAAATCTGAAATTATGTCAAAATAAAAATTAAAAAATAAATCAATATATTACAGAGATAATTTCCTAACATTTATTGAGTTTTTTGCCAGCTGTGTTTCAGGTATTGTTCTAAGTGCTTTCCTTATATTAATTCATTTAATTTTCACAATAACCCTATGAGTTGATGTGATTTGTCTCCTTTTTTCAAGTGAAGAAACTGAGGCCCAGGGAGGCCAAGTAATTTTTCCAAGGTCCTATGGTAATTAAGTGGCAGAAATAGGATTGAAATTATTTAGTGCCATAACATTATGGGGTAAAAGATGGTTATTTTAGTTTAAAATCAAATAATTTATTCCATATTAATGATATGTTGTACTTTTATTTAGTTAAATATGTACCTCCTTCAGTGAAGACTAGAACAAAAATATTGTCAGTTATTAGAATTGTGTTTATTTCTATGTTTTACCAAAACAACACATTACCAACATCAATTGTACTCAAACCTCTCAAGGCTGGTTTTAACTTCTTTTTTTGAAGGGCCAATTAGTCAAAGTTTAAAACCACCAAACAGTTAATTAAAAAGAACTGAGAAGAAAAGTCCTGAAATGTACAAATCCTCAGGAAGAAAACTCAAAATTCACTAATCTACAATGATTTTTAACACATTACTATGCTCAGGAAGACATTCTGAAGTGTCTGCATTATTGACATTAATTATTGGAATTATGCACTATGTTAACTGCCTTTTCAAATATTTCATAAGGTTTTGGAAATTGAAGAGAGTAAGGTAAAATGATCAACTTTAATGATAAAATTTATCCAGTCATCTTAAACTATTAGAGATAGTTATATACATTAGCATTTTATTGAAGACTAATCCTGCATCAGTAAAGTCTATAATCTGAATTTTCCCCACCCTCACTTCTGCCCCAAACCACCGCTCTGCCAAGGTCAGGATGGTTTTACAATGAATAATCCACATACTCTTTCACCTGATTTTTCTTGGTATCAGAGAAATAATTTGTGAAACTGCTGAGTAAGGTTATAGAAGAGAAGGTAACTGATTATAAACCAGTAATGGATATCAAACCTATAATCTTGATCTTTTTAGCATCTCAAATGAGCTTGCTTAGAAATCAGCTCAGTCTACAGGAATATGAACTGAAGACAAAAGGGTAGTGGATCTTTTTTCTCTTCGTTTTGGTTTTGCTGCTCAACATCTAAAATCCCTTCCTCTGCTTAAGAGATACACAGTTTATAAGCACAGCCCCCTCGTATGATACACACCGAAAATAAGAGATACTTTTCTGGTCTCCCTTGCAGCTAGAGCATGGACGTATGACCTGTCAGAATCACCTGCTCCATTCTTTGAACTAGAAATTCATGAGGCAAAGAAGCAGGGATGGAGACAGACTCAGACATGGCTGTTGGGATCTATGCATCATTTCCACAGACGACGAAGGCAGCCTTTTCATGGGCAATGTTCAGAATGCAGGTCAGTGTGGGTGGTGTCAGCCGGGGGGGTCTGGTGCCCAGAGATGGGAGCAGCGGTAGTTTCACTCGCTCACACCTGCTTAGGACTCTGAACATTTCAGGCTCAGAGCCTGGTAATCCAGCCCTCCTAGAAATTCTGCTAGCTCTCCAACTTCCTTTCCTTTTTTTTTTTTTCCAGTTCTAGATTTGAATGTTTCCTTTTGTAAAAAATAGCTGTATTGAGATATAATTCATATAATATACAATTTACCCATTTAAAGTGTATAATTAAAGGTTTTTAGTGTATTTACAGATACATGCAACCATCACCACAGTCAATGTTGTAACATTTTCAACACCTCAAAAAAGAAACCCTATCCCCTTTAACTGTCTCCCTAGCTGTCCCCAACCCTAATCTCATGGCCAGGCTTAAGCAACCACTAATCTACTTTCTGTCTGTGAATTTCCCTCTTCTGGGCTTTCATATAAC